GCTTCTACACCCTTGTTAATCAGCTATAATTTCCCTCTGATTTTAGGAATACATTATGGGTAAGGTTAGGTTTAGGGGTAGGGATTGGGTTAAGTCTGTATTTTTGGACAGTAATGTTGATCCAGGATCAACCAAAGATGTTGATCCAGGAACATGTCTTACTTGGCAAAATCACGGTGACAGTTATTCACTTTATATCAGAGATATAAATACTGAATGTTTGTCAATACAGGGAGACTCTGGAGGTCCAGTGGTCAGTAGGAACGGCTCCCTCTGGATTCAGTCTGGCATTGTAAGTTTTGGTGCAAAACGATGTGATGACCCCAAATATCCCAGTGTGTTTGTCAGAGTTTCTCAGTTCCAGTTCTGGATCGACTCTATCATTGGAGGCAACTCACCTGGATTTGTCGGATTTAACAACAATGGATTCAGAAGTTCACTCAGCCTCCTTTTATTTTCCATTTCTCTCATATTCTTCATTCATTTCACCTTCTCCATCTATCTGTCTTCCTAAAGATTGTTTGAACATTAATTCTCAGGGTTCTTTGATGAAGAGGAAAGCTGTGCTGTACATGTTCTCATGAATAGGTGAAAAGAGCAGTTATTGTTGTTTGTCATTTAATCTTTATCTTTCAAAAATTTACTATTCTTGAAAAGCTACTTTTATTGACATTATAAGAGCATACACTAATGAAGTTCAGCATGCTAGTGCCATTTCAGGATGTTTGCATAAATAGTAGAGATTGAGTTATATTGATTTTGTTATAATGATACATATTATGTCTGATAACCCATATGCCTAACCGATAAATGCAATATGATCAGGGATACTGGTTGTTGAAGATGTAATTGTCTATAATCAGTTACCATATGCTGTTGTCATACTGTCTAAACAGAATAAATACAAAAGAAGGAACTTACTTGGGGAAGGTTTCTTTATCTCCCTCCATACTGTCTTGATATGTTTGTGTTACCTGTTTGATGAAAATAAAGTTGTTTTTGTTTCTGTTTATTTATAAAGCACAATTAAAACAACGTAATGTTGACCAATGTGCTGCACAATCACACAATTAAATTACACAAGAATTACTTTCTGACAAACAATGACTACCAACATGACTACTGACTTTGATAAACACCAGAAGAAAGTCCCTGATCATTCATTCATATATATATATATATATATATATATGTAACCCTCTTTGTCGATGTGTTGAAGTGAGGGGTGAATGAGGAGGACACCAAAACCGTGGTTGAGTCAAGCAGAGCAGCTTTCTTTTATTAGGCTCCTTTTCCAATTCAGCCACTCTCACAAGAGAAACAGCACTGCAACAGCCTTTTCACAAGGAAATAGAAACTGTTCATTACAATTTAACTTCACAATTACAATATATAACAGGAAATAATATGGGTATGGCTGCAGCTAACTTAATAGTAAGCTCATGGTTCACAAACTCACTTAAACACTGAAAAGATCAACTACAACATATGATAGACAGATAAATGTTAGATGTATCAAAATAGAAAAAATAAACCCATAAAATACACAAATACACCTCATACACAGCATAAGATAATATAAAATATGCTCTGCCACATGGAACATAGGAAACATGCAATAATATCAGAAATACAAAACCATCAAAAACAAATCTCACATCCACATAGTACACATCTTAACAACAATATATTTATTTTAATAACTTGAATGGCTAATATAATTAGATAAATTAAACAGATATCATGGAGAACAGTGATAACCCTCCTTACCTTTTCGCAAGGAAATAGAAACTGTGGGTAAACAGCTCCACCCATGTAAAGAAGGGTTCACTCCCCTAATGAGACACTTACAACATAGCGAGTCGACCAGGCTCATGTTGGCTTCACCGCTGGATTGGGCTCTTTGCTCGGGCTGATGCAGAAGCAGAAGGGTGTCCAGCTGGGCGCTGTCTAGGGCGCTGAAGAGAGGATGATCTTGAGCAGGCAAGATAAAAAATTTCACCACAAGGTGTCACACACGAACTACTTACACAAATCAAAATACAGCTTCCAAAGAGAAACTAATACTGCACAGAACACTCCCCGCCTGGTATAACTTGTGTTATACCACTATGCATTCCGATTACTTGACAAAAGTAAGACAACATTACATATAGGTCTTAAGTACTCTGACAATCCCTGCTTAGCAGTCATCACCATAACCTTACGAATTTTCCCATCAGATGAGGCTACAGTCTTTGTTATGAGACCAATTGGCCACTGAGTCTTTCAACAGAACTACGTCTCCTTCCTGAATACTATCTCTCTCCTCTGTCCATTTCCTTCTGGGTTGCAAGGTAGACAAATACTCCTGCTTCTATCACTTCCAGAATGAATCCGCCAACATCTGGACTTAACACCATTGATTTTTGTGCAGGTGACTTAACTCAGAATTTCCTGGAGGAGCTGGAGCAACACTTACCTTCTGAGTTAAGAGCATTGCTGGTGAGAGCACTTGGGGCATGCTTGCATCTGTTGAAATTGGGGTTAAGGGTCGGGAATTCATAATGGCCATGACTTCTGCCATTAAAGTTGTTAAGACCTCATGCGTGAGTCTTGTGGAAGTTTTCATCAAGAGAGCCTACAGTGTGGAGGGTGGAGTGTGGAGTGATTGACAATTCCAAGGAGATTGTCAATTTTGGGGCAAGTAATCAAGATTAAATGGTCAAAGAGATACACAGCATGACCATCACATGTAAACCAGTGATAGTAATCACGATCATGAGCTCTGTGGATTGGCTTTCCCCCCCACC